TTATTCTGCAAGCTGACAAAATATATCTCCTTGTCCCAATTCTAAATCACTCCTCCCTTCCACTGCTGTTTCACTCTGTTCTTCTTCTGTTTTCCGCATCCAATTTTCACTCTCTCTCACTTTATTCACAGAAGCACTCGCTGACCTCCTCTCCCCCTCCTTCTCGCGTCACTCCTTCCCTTGTTCTCTCTCTTTTTCTCCTAGTTTGCCCTTGGCTTCATGATGCTCACTGGAATCTGCAGTAATCAAGGTGACATGCTACATACACATGCAAGCCAGTACATATGCAAACGCACACGCATGCCAATGCATATGCAAACATGTGAAGCAAACATACCCACACGCGTCCTGATTCCTGAATTGTGAAGACAAGACGATAGAAAAATTAAACACCCTCTTACGTTGTAGCGTCTGTGTGCTTTTGGCATACTACGCAAAAAAATGTATGCTTTGGGAAGGAGCATCATGATACTACAGGTACATGCCTACATATATGTACGAATACATACGCAAACAGAAACACACAGCAACACTTACACATGCTAAGCTGGGGCAGACGGTGGAGTAATGGACCCCTTCACATGCTCATCCCAAGGGAAGACTTTGTTTTGGGCATTGCTTTTTATATGGTGAGTGTGTGTGTGTGTGTGTGTGTGTGTGTGTGTGTGTATTCTTGCACATCTGTTTCATGTGCCGAGTACACAAGTGAACAAAAGACTGCTCGTCTGAGTGTGTGTCTGCATGTGTGTACAAAGGTAAGATGAGGACAAGGAGGTGGGTGCTGTGTTGACAGAAACAAAAATATTTTCACTGTTAGAGACCTAGAGTCTACTCACCTACACATGCATGCTTTACACATAAGAACAACCAACAATGCACTCCCACAAAGTCTATTTAATGTTAATTTATATTTATATTATATTATTGCATATATATTTTATTGCATATATTTATATTTTAATATATAGTAGCAATACTTTTTTAAAAAGTTGTTTATATTTGCACATTTATTATAGGTTTTTAAAGTGCATCAATTATAATATACATTAATACACACATAAATAAATATACAGGTGTGTATATATATATATATATATACACAATACTTATACAATACTTAATAATTTAATTAATATTAACACACACACACAAATGTATGTAACAATATAATTGAATATTTATGCCAACAAATACTTGAAGTCCAAACAAATCTTTAATATAAGTCTGTCCCACATTATATATGCATTTATTACTATAAGTATTTCTGGGGGGAAAAACGTTTTAATATATTATTAATAATTTTTTTAAGTATAGATTAATATTTATTTTTATATAACTGTTTATTTTTATAACCACTAATTAAATTTTCTCTGTTCTATAGGTAAGCATAACCATCATTTTTAGGCACCCCCTAGGGAACATGCACCCCTGGATGGGAATCACTACCATAAATAAAGCAAAGTATGTGGTAACCTGCTCTGCCCCAGTTGTGAAGGACTCCCCCGGTTCACAGCAGCAGAGCCTGCTTCTGACAGATGCCAGATCTAGCCACATGACACTCCTCCAGAAAAGTAAATCCCCCAAATATTTAGCACAGAACACACAATCACATATACTGTAAACACACACACACACAACCAACACAAAGCAACAGACTCTCTGACCTGAAAGTGTCTCCATGTTAGACTGCAACAGATATGACATATTGTGCAACCAAGCAGAAGACAGAATGAAATATTTGACTTTTTACGTAGCGGAAGCTATTTTGGACCTAGCAGACACAACTCGTGTGATGGTGTTGTGAACGTCTCTGGTCACTCTTCTGTTGCTTTTAAATTCACTAGAAACCGGGTCCACAAATCTAACTTCAACCATGAAAATTTAATGTTCTCCTGCTTGTTCCCTCAGTCTTTATACAAGCTATGCTCTATTGAATCTGAAATACTGATGTTGCTTGTGAGGGTCCCCAATGACGCTGGCCTCTCCTCTTCCATATTTTTTTTCTTCTGTTCTTTTTTTATTTTTTCCTGTAGTCCTAAGCAAAACATGTTCTTCACTCACCAGATCTAGCTCTCTCTCTGTATCTACAACGATAACTCCAAAGACAGACAAGTATGTGTACATACAAAAATCCACAGTTTCTGTCAGATTAAATCTCTAAAACTAAACCATTCTGCCTGAGAGCACTATTTTACAGCATTACATTCAAGTGCTGTGCTTTACTAACCAAGTTATGCTTTACATTAGTATGCTAAAGCACTTCACTAACAGAATATTAGTGTGAAATACATGGATCGCTACTCTGCCAAGCATACAGTAAGCCTCAGTGCCTGAAGAGTTCATTCTAATGTACATCTAACCCAGCTCTCCCTTAATAATTCTGTCTTGCGTCACATTAGCGAACATTCATCTTTATTCATCAGTACTTCTTCACCCACCCTTCCCACATCTCATTTGATTTAAGCCTAAAACAGACATCATGCTGCTACTCAGATGCAAACATGCCATAAAAATTAAATTCGGTCCTTTCAGGAAATCTACAAAGAGAAACTAAAGAGAAAGAACTAAAGCCCAACCCGAAAAATGAGCTTTACAAGAAAACATCTGTCAAAGTCTAATCAGAGCCACACAAACAGTCTATCCTTCTGTCCAACACACTCACATATTTCTCCTCGGTTTCCAGATAAATCCTGAAGTCTCTTAAGGTCATATGATGTTCTCTCTATCTTGTTCACAATTGCACTTCTATTCTCTTATTTTCCAATTCCACAGTCTTTCAAACTATCTGCTCATTATCTTATTACGTTCATTCTATTTCACCTTTTTTTTTTTTTTTTTTTTTTTTGCTCTTTGCTCATCTCTCTCCCTTTCTTTCCCACATGCCGTTGTCATATTCTGTTTCATCAAATTTTTAAAAAAATTAAAATTAAAATGAATGGGAGCTTAGCGACAGGGAGTCGGTTAGAGATGGAAACAGAGAGACAGTAGGTATTCTCTTACCAGCCACTAGAAGTCACTCGTATTGTGCTGCGTGTGTTTGAGTGCAGTTGCTATAGATTTTAGTACAGGAATCTTTAACAGGGGGTCTGTGGTGGTACTGCAGGGGGTCTCATTTTTCAAGACAAATGTTAATATATGAATGCAATATTTTAAAACAATACAATTATAATACCTTATTTTTATTATTTATATTATGACATTAAGTTAATTTAATAAAAGTTTATTCAGCTAAATGTATAACTCACATTGAAACGTATTAGCCTTAGCAAATTTAAATGCATGTACAAGTATATGATTCAGCTAATACATGACTAATAGCTATGCAATGAAAGCATCCTAAAGTATGTAGATACATTAATACAATACTCCATATGTATTTATATAGGCCAAGTTTATAATGCAACAAACAATTTAATACAGTATGTCTATCTATCTATCTATCTATCTATCTTCATTGTAAACACTGTATAAAATTGACACACACACACGGTTGTTTCCAGTTGCACACAATTCTTACAACCACAGACACATGCAAAATGAAAGCACACTCACACTTGCTTACTTGTATGGCCAAAAATACACACAAAAAAACCACACACACGCTCTCTCTCTCTCTCTCTCTCTCTCACACACACACACACACACACACACACACACACACACACACAAACACTAAACTGAGAACACACCCAGCACTTATTTAAATGTATCACTCCCAAAAGGGAAATACATAATGCTACAACTGCTTGATTAATTGATTGATCAACTGGAGGATTGATTAAAGGTCTTGCCATATACATTCTGTATTTGCAAAGTTTAATCCTGTATGGTAAAACCAAGAAAAAATGTATCATAATACCAAAATGGCTCATTACTTAATACCTCCTGTCCTGACTAACAAAAATTCGGCCAGTTTTGTTTTAGACATTTACTAAACAGCCTTGTGTGTGTGAAGGGATCCACAGCCCCCAGACAAGGTGGGGCTGGTCTCCTCATGTCTGCAGTGTACTCCAGTCTACACCTCCTCGCTTAACTGGCTTTCCCCGCGCTCACCCCGCCTCTTTTGCTTTTAATCCGCGAATAATGTCTCCGGTGGACAGTCTAATTTAGTGCTATTTATCATTACCAGAAATACACAAGACCGATCCGGAGACGTACAGGTTCACGCCACAGACATACACGCGCACGCAGCCACGCCTCCCATCTACTATCGCATCACGACTGTAATAAATTTGGCTGCAGTTGTAGCTTGTCGCACGTGCCATTGGCATTCTGATGCCACCTTCACGCGCGATTCATGCAGACGTTACGTGAGACGAATATTTCTGGAGACACTCGCCGTTATCACAGACCAGGTTACCCAAATAATAACCAACGTCTATGAATGGCTATTAGCGAAAATGTAAAATATTAAAGATAAAGTCTACATCCTTCACATACTTCATATCTCATAAATCACCCGTGACGGCCCTTTTCTCCCGTAGCGAACTCTAAAACTCTCGCGTGCACTACACCGAGGACACTCCTCGATACGCGTCACTTATATACGCTCAGATGATCACAAACCCACTGCCTTTACACGGTTACTCTTTTACATTGTTTAGGGACTCTGTCTGGTTTTGTGGAGAAAAGATCGACGGGGAAAGCACGTCATTTTTTTTCGTTTTAAAAATTACGAACAGTCGCGATAGCGAAAACAAAATAAACGGCTGGTTTTACAAGACAACTGTTTTCAGGGCATGCCTTGGTCTTAAAAAGCACAACAAATGTATTGGGTTGTCAATGAAAGCAATATTCATATATTGACATAAACACGGCAATAGGCGCTAGTCAATTCCTCTGTGGGCGATCATATTGCTTGCCGTTACCAGATGTTTGTAATTATATTTCCACACACAAGTCAATACCAATTGAGTTCGAATTTCGTCACAATTTGTATGATTTAAAAATATCCGCCTTTAGTGTACAGAAAACAAATGGTGCAGAAGAGACTGACTTACATAAACGGTGAGAAGTCGAATTGCAGCGGACAAGTAGTAAAATCAGACAACAACAAATCCACGCCGGTCTGCTGACGATGACATTGCCCTCTTCAAAGAGAAAAGACGGAGGTGACAGTAATTTCCAACCGTGTCATGAAAGATTAGATGAAAAATGATGTGCGAGGAGACCGAGCATCAGTGCGCTGACGGCTGGCTGCTTTTTGTAAACAACATCCTCATCCCCATTCACCCTCCGCGCGCAGCACGATGATGAGAAAGCGCTTCGTTATCCATGGTGCAGTTCACTGCGACGTTAGCGAAGAAAAAAAACATCCGTTCAAAGCAGGCCCATAGAACCATTCACAAATGCAGTCTGTTAGTGCCTGCACACTACCCGCTAGATGACTTCACGGTAATGAATGCAGAGCCCGCAGATAAACAGATATGTCGTTGGTGGCGGCGCACTTCGCGCTGATATTAATATTAATATTCTCGCTTTAGAGCTCGTCGGTCACCGGAGAAGCAGATGCTGCTACTGATTCCGTTCTGATGCGCGCCTCGCTCTCCTAAAATGACGTTGTATCGTGCTGCTGTTTTTGTGAAAGGAGACATTTTCTGCCCTCACAATACTAAATATAAATTCCACCGACTGTTGTTATGCCGTTGTTGCGTTTACATTCTCATGCCTGCCCGTGCCTCACGGCGGTAAAGTTAGTTTGACGTTTGACATTCATTAAACATTCGGGTTTTTTGCCAATTAAACTCTTTGCAGCTTTTATGTTTTGAGCCCAAACTAACTCAGATAGACATAAATATATGCCCTTTATGTTGCACAAGGCTTAATTTCTAGGAATTAAAAAAAAAGAAGTAACCATTTAAATTAATTAAACAATTTAACTACGTGACATTATAATATAAAACCAATACTAAAATGTTCGGGAAAACATACCTGTTATCGCACAAAGCTCCGTTTTTGGAATTACAATTTTATGTTTTTTATAATAATTTTACAACTTTTAATGTATGCAATAATATAAATCCATTAAACGACAACACCATTTGATCTAAAGGTATCAAACCAACTGTAAAATATTCAGAATATTATTCCCTATAATGCACAAGTCTTGGTTTTCCAGATTATGCCTTTACTGTTTTTATATACAGTACTGAATCCATATTTGTCATGTTTTATATACTGTACCCACTTAAATTAATTAAACTCTGACACAGTTTGAGATAAAGCTATCAAACCAACTGTAAAATATTCAGAATATTATTCCCTACAATGCATAAGGCTTGGTTTTTCAGATTATGCCTTTACTGTTTTTATATACAGTACTGAATCCATATTTGTCATGTTTTATATACTATACCCACTTAAATTAATTAAACTCTGACACCGTTTGAGATAAAGGTATCAAACCAACTGTAAAATATTCAGAATATTATTCCCTATAATGCACAAGGCTTGGTTTTTCAGATTATGCCTTTA